TCACTTTTCAGACTCTGAGCACCCAAACCTGATGCTGTTGCTGCAGTTACCAAATGGCACGTGCTCTGAGCCTGGACCTTTGTCTCCCTCATACCTGGCCTTGCCCAAGTGCTTTGCTGTTGTTCTCTCAGTAGCATCTAATGACTTGACCTCTCAAACAGGACTTTCTGCTTTTTTTCCCTCAGGCTAGATGCCATGGAAATAGCTCCACTTCAGCATAAAGGCAGACTAAATTTGCCATTCAGCCCACCGTGGTGACTCCAGCGTGGTAAGGAGGTCTGTCTGTGCTTGAGGCCCGGCCTGGGGGCTGTCACCTCAGCACGGGGTGGCAGCAGTTCTTACACCGGCAGCATGAGTGTATGACAGGGACAGCTGACCACTTCTAGTTGGCTTCAAATGTGTTGCAGCAGCACCAGGGAAGTGTTCACTTTGTCATTGGCAGCACAGCCACTTTCCAGTGCAGCCCTGGCCGGTGCCTGTGGTTGTGTGATTGTGCATGTGAGGGTGTTCCCACCAGCCTGACTGCCCCAGGCTTTGTCCCTGAGCCAGGGCACAGGTGGACGCCTCACTCAGCAGCTGAAGTGCCCTCTCAAGGACCTTGCCAGGCAGCCTGGTGCTTACCTGAGATCCCCAGGTAGTCAGTGCCTGATGTCAGTCCGTACAAGTGTTCTCCCTTGGCCCAGGCTGGGAATTAAACCCCTCCTCAGCTGGAGAACAAGCCTCTCAGTGTGCTCCTCATTCTGCACTTTGATACTGCTGGACTGGGCAAACCAGTGCTTGGTTTTCCTTTAGATATTCACTGGGGAGGGAAGGGAGAGAGGGTTGGTGTTTGTGCTCCTAATGACAACTGATAACCTTTCAGTCAGCCAGCCAGAGGAATAACACACGTGAGAAAGGGAAATGTATCCAGACAGGAACTCCAGTGGTAGGTGCCTGAACACTTCTCAGTCGACAGGAGTTTGTAATACTCCCTTGGTGTTGTGTGTTGTGTTTAGGTAGCTTCGTTTTGTGTGATTTGAAAGACTGAGCAAACCTTGCTGTGTAAGATCTCAGAGCAGGTGAGGAGTGATGCAGCAAATCTCAGAGTGGCTCTAAGCAGTGCATGAGTTTGAAGGCACAGCTCAGATCCCACACCTGTCATGCAGGAGGTGTCGTCTGCTTTGTTACATGTACGTGGGTGCATTTTGGTGTCTAGTGTTTGAAGGGCTGCAGTGCCCTAAAAAAATCAGTTTATTTCTTGTATCTTGCTAGTTGGATATGCTATAGGTGCGTGGAAGACTCACCTTTTCTAGTAGAAAAGGACTACAGGTATGCCCTCGTGGCCATCCATGGAAAATAGAGGTCAGAAAGTCTACTGAATGTCAATAGTGCTTTTCAGAAACAAAGATGTGCCAGATTCTCAGTTATTCCTTCTCTAAACAACTGACTTGGACTTCTTCTGTATAGCCCGTGGTTCCCACTTTCTGTTATCAAATTCCACATTTTGTTCTGCTTTTAAACAGACCCTGAAAGTTATAATTTATTGTCCTTGTGTGGACAGACTGACAGGGAAGTTCATCGAAGTTTTGCTTGGGTCAGGATGGCACAGCTGGCCCCTTAGCATGCTGTTGCACTACACCGAAAAAGAAAAGGGAATGTTAATAGGAACCTCTCACCCCACTAATTTGGAGGATGGTTAATCCTGTAGCTCCTAAACAGTAAACCAGTTTAAGCCTCTGTTGGCCATTTAAATAATTGCTGGGGATGGAGCTGGTGTGTCCTGCAGGCCATGAAGGCTCTTTGGCTCTGAACTGTTGGAGCACAGTGGGTTCCACTGGTTCTGGTGCTGTTTGAGGATGCAGCAGGGGGTTAACATGCTTGGGAAGCTTTGCAGAACAGCTTTATTTATTTATTTACAGAATCCCACCACACCTCCTTGCTCAGTTAACTCCTTCCATCCTGTTGCCCATTCACTCCCTGGGGAGATGGAGGCTTGGGCCCTTCATGGATGTTGTGTATTGTTAGGTGTCAAATGCAAGGATGTGCATCTTCTCACCCTTTGCAGGCTTTTCACTGCTGTCAATTTAACAAGTACAAAGCCTTTTTTTATTTTTTTTTTCCCAGAGATCTCTTAAATCAGCTATTTCGTATTAGCAGATTATTGCTCTGCCTTAGAGACACCACGTGTGTGAAGTTGTGTTCTCTGACTGCCAGCCAGCACAGGGTGGATTCCACCTCTCCTCTCAGAAGAAGCTGTTTTCAGAAGCGCCACAAGTCTTTCAGCTGTCTGGGCTAACCCAGTCTGTGTGGTCCCCTTTCCTTCTCTTTCCATTTTCCTGGTCTTCATTGTTCACAAGGCCTGGGTGTGTTGGGCTCTGGGTCGCTGTCACTCAGTTTTCCCTTTCTGGGCACAGTGTGCTCTCCAGAAAAGAGATTTGTTTGCACAGGTGGCTTTTCACGGTGAAGTGGTTTTCCCAAAGTACGTTCTTACACAGGTTTTAATTTAGACAGTGAAGTCCTTGGCTCTGCAGACAGATTTCTTCCAGCAGACTCTCATGTGCAGAATCCCATGTGGTCACTGAAGTTCTGTGTGGATGTGGAGTCCAGAGAAACAGTCTGTGCTCTTAGACTATTGACCTGCTTCTTGCCAGTCCTTAATTGTTCCCGTTCCAGATGATTGCTTGTCCTGTATTTTGTAGTCTGAAACTTCCCCATATTAAAGACAGATGTAAGACAAAACCTTCAGAAGTGCCTAAGCCCTGTTGTTACCCAGCGGGGTTTAAGAACAAATTTTTATTTAGGAAATTAATGTATTAGTCTTAAATTCTGTCTGTGTTATGTGTAGCAGTGTCAAGGAGTGAGAAGTTTAAAGTTCCTGGAAGAACAATCCATCTCTTAGGGACTCGCCCTTTGTGTTTGAAAGGCTCTCATGGTTTCCAGAGGTCACAGCTGAAAGCTCTGGAAAATGGATTTCCTGTGGTCAGAGCAGTCAGAGGTCTGTGAATGCCTTACTGTGTCCTGTGGGGTGTGACTGGCAGTGTGTGGTGCTGCTCTGTAGGAATTCTGTGTCACGAGTAGGTGTGGTAGAATCCAGTTTAAAGGCATTGTGGAATAAGTAGCTTTTACACCAAACCTTAAAGAAGAAGGAGTATTTTACACCAGAATGTAGCTGTTGGGACACCTGGTCAGGGGAACACGAGTCTGCGAGCGAGTTGCAACGTTGAACGTTCTCTGTGTAAATATATAAATATTCTCAGCTTTGTTTTCTCAGCCTAACACATGTTGCATGGTTTGGGTTTTATTTGCCCCATCGGTTCATCAGTGTTGCTTAAAAGGTGATGGGTTGGAAATCATGCTGGCACTGTACTGAGCCCTGTGAACAAAGAGCAAGGAGAACGTTGTGCACCAGAAACAGAGGTGACTTTGCATATGGCAGCAGTGAAGAAAGTGTTGGACCCTGCAGCCAATAAACAGACCTCTTAAACAACCATGGACTCTATTAATTGTGTTTTTTCTCAGTGGTCAGTCTGACAACTTGGCATTGGGTAAGGGAGAAGAAGGTAAGAGTCAGTGTGGTCCTGAATTTGCTTGGAAAAGCTTTTTGCCTTTAGAACAACCCTTTTAAGTTGATCCATGTTTAATTACGTAGTCATTAACATTTAAGTTTTTGCAGTGCATGGTAGTGAGGACTGATGGCTGTAATGGTTTCTTCCTGATTAGTTCAGGAAGAACTTCAGTGAGGGTTTGTGCAGTGGCACAAGAACGAGCTCACCCTTTATCCCTGGGCTGCCTGAAATTGTGTGTTCTGAGCATTGCAGCGTCTGCTGACTCACCCCTGCTCTGTCCCCTCCCATCTCCCCTGGACATTGTGGTTCTGCTTTTCCTGCTGGGGAGATTCAGCAGGAGCAGTTTACAAGTCTACAGACTTTTCCAAGTCCTGCACTCGGCCTTTAATTCGGATGCAACCCTTGTGTTCATCCAAACCCCGCTGGAAGCAGTGAATGCCTTAAGGCTGCACCCAGTGTGGGGGCTTTGCTTTGCTCCCCAAGGACAAGAGGGTGGCCAGAACCTTCTTTCATCACTGCAAGTGTCAGACTGGGTTTTCCTTGGAAAATGGCAGTGATGGATGTAGCATCAAGGAGCAGGAGGAGTTATTATCCAGGCTCTCATCTCAGCACGAATTCGGAATGCCATGCTCCCTGCTGTGGATGTCCGTGGTGCCCTGCCCAGCTCAGGAGGAGATCAGCACAGGTGGTTGATCACAGGAGTCATTTCTGACCTCACTGTAAAGGTAAGGAAACAGAGATTTCAGGCACTGCCAGATTAATTAAGTTTGGTGTGTAATCCACCGTTTTCTCTTCAGCGTTAGGAATTTGCTTTTTACAACCTGCTAGTTTTCCCTGGAATTGCAGACACCAGAATTGCCCCAAGCGCCCACCAGCTCAGGTGGAGCTCCAGAACTCGTTTAGACAAAAGGTTTTGTACTGTGTTATTGCCATCTGTGCTCTAAGGTAGTAAAGCAGTGTCACACTTTTCCCTCAGTGGTACTGCCCCGACAGGACGTTTCTGTTCGGATCTTTGAAGCCTTTGCAGACTTCCAGCCATGATTCTTTTCAGTGTCACCCCTCAGTAAAGGTTAAGATGTCCCTAACAGTAATACCCACCAAACTAACTATGTTCAGGATGCTCAGGTGCAAACAAGAATTTCTAAACAATGCCTTAAAAAAACGAGCAGTGCACAAACCCACCAGAAACGTGGGTAAGTATATTGATGACTACTTCAAACCATGTAAATTCTGCTTCTGTTTCTTTATTCCAAACATCCTGAGCAGTTTGGGTAGAGGTGAGGCTCTCTACTGATACAAACTCCAGGTTTGAGTGAGGAAGGGCCAGGGCAGGACATCCTTCTTTTAGCAGCAGGGTTTTCCCAGGCAGGAGTTCACCTGCAAGCAGCTGGTTGTAAAATTCAATTTATTAATGGTGTTATGCACCCAAAATGACAGTGATTGACACAAGACAAATGAATCTCCCATTCATTTATTCACATTTTCCATGGATTTTTGTACACGTCCTCAGTGTATCAGAACTAATGAAAACATTGTTACATGACAAGTTATGTAAAACTTAAGGATCCACTGAAAAATTCAGAGCGTTTTGAAATCTATTAACAACTAACAAATCATCACATTCAGCATTTTCATTGGATTTAGACTAGCTCATGCCACTTCAGTTGTTTAATGTCAGTTCATTTCTGCACACAGGCACCAGCTACAAAATTTTCTCAAATGCAAATAAGTTAAGGCATCAGAAAGAAAGTCTTTAAGGACATCTTAAATGTTACAGTGCCGCAAAGGGAGCTGAACTGCAGTTTGTAACAGCAAAGCAAACCTCCTGATTCGTTTATGTTCTACAACATGTTCATCTGAACTGTAAATTTAATTTAAACTTTTACATCCATCAACCAAAAAGGATTACAGGAACACACTACTGTGCTCCCAAACAGATAATTTTAAGTACATTACAAACAAAAAAAAAAAAAATCCTTGCATGTTGCAATTAATATTTTAAAATAAAATTCAAACCAAGTGTAATAATTCTCCCTTAGCAATGATTCTGAGAATTAAAAAGCAGAGATCTTGATTTTTCTGGGCGGGGAGGTGGGAGGGAAAGGAAAGATTTCTAAGCAGCTGAAACTCCAAAGTCAGAGTAGCAGGAGGAGTGGATGATCCATAAGACACTCAAACACCTACGGACAGCGAAGGCATTAATGCAAACGAGGGCAGGAACTTGCATCTTTAACATCAGGTGTCTGATATCCAGCTGTCAAATACATCAAATGTCTCCCAAGATACAGGAATGCCTCCTGGAGTAGCAATTCTGATCAAAATTCCTTCCTTGGAGAGCATGAGCCACTTTGTTATGAAGGCATTAGTATGTTGATGTCTGTGCTCTCCACTAACGTTTGCTTTTAACTCATTTTAGGCCTTTATTTCTATGTCATAATCTCTGACTTTTTACAGCATTTGTGTATTTTAATATTTCTCGACTAGAAACTGAAGCATCTTCAGAAATGTCTTTGTTCTGACAGTGCTGCAGAAGGGCTGTGCTCTAGACCTGAGCAGCAAGGGAAAAGTGTGTGACTTCCTGCTCTATAATCCAGATAATGGCAGGGTCACCAGGAACTGATGTTGATTAAAGTCTGATCTGCAGTAAAATTCTTCCCTGTTCTTTTAGGGGCAACTTTCCCCATGTAAGTGTTTACAGTTGTATGTTTGTGCATATATTTGACTCGCTAATGAATACAACATCTCAGTGATTTACCTTCCCCTGCCTTTGCTGATAAATGCATGCACTGAAGAATTCAGGTGTCTCATCTCAGTCTTTCCCACAGCTAGGGGAAGACCTGACTTGCTACCATGGCTATGGTAAGGTTTAATTTTTCCCAACACCATTCATTATTATTCTACTTATTTTCCCTTACCCTCTGTGCTCCCCCTTGGAGACAGGGCAGAGCTGCACTGGCAGAGCTGGGCCATGTGTGTGTGTGCAGAACCCCACACCTGCCCCACTGCAGAGGCACAGCACGAGGAGAGAAGGGCAAGGTCAGCCTGTTGGTCCACATTTCTCTGGATGAAGGAGCAGTTCCAGAGCCAGGAGCTTTGGGAAGCAAAGGAACAGAAGGCTGAGCCCACGGACACACCTGGACAGAGCTGCTCCTCAGGGGATGCACAGCCAGAGCTCTGCTCTACCAACCTGCCTGCAGAAACAGGGTAAGACAACACTCAAAAGACAAATGCAAATTTAACTGAGCCCTTGGACCCGAGACCTGAGCCTGGACTAAAGTGGCAGGTAATGTTCTGCTTTTCATTCATGCACAGTGAGCACACACGCCCTCCAATTCAGGTAGCAGCAAGATTTTTTTTTTTTTTTTTTTTTAAAAAAGCATCTTATTTTGAGGAAAGTAATGTCACTGACTTCTTAGCGTTTAAGTACTGAGCCAGATGCAGAAAGAAACCCCCAAAGGCACCAGTTTATATTTCAAATAATACCTTAAAATCTCCTCTTACACTTCAGTGTTAAAAATGCAGTTCCTGTAGCCAAGCGTAGCTGAAACGTGAGCAAAGGCCTTTGTCTTTGAACTTTGGTCAGGAGGGCTGTAGATCCTATCAAGTTTTTCCTCCTTTTAGTTAAGAGGGGGAAAAAAGGCCATAACCTGAATTGTGCAGTAAATTAGGCCTAGAGGCAGCTTTTGTCCCCCCGGAGCAGGAGGGACAGGTGAGATGTGCTGCACCTCAGCAAATGGTGCTACTCCTTTTTCCCTGCCCACAGGATGCCAGTAGGGTGGATTTCCAGATGGCCTGTGGGTATTTTTTAAGGAAGGGCAGGGTTTTTCCTGTGTGTCACATTAGCCAGAGGCAGGGTGGCATGTTCATTCCATCTTCCAGAGCTGAGCCAGAGAGCACTTCAAGTTTAACATGAACACCGAGCTCTTGGAGAGGTCCCAGAGCTGGGAGTGCAGTAGAAAAACAATTACTAGGGAAGAAGATTTGCAAAAGAAAAGGATTAAACCACCAAACAGAGTCTGACATAATGCTGAGATGGAAACCAAGACCAGAATCAGTGTTCTGATCCATGAATTATTGCCACATGGGTAACTTTAACACAGCTGACAACTAAGTTCTAGATTAACCCAGCGCTCCCTACGTGCAACAGAAAGCTTGTCCTAAAGCTGCACATTGTGCAGCACAGCACTGCAGCTTCAGCACAGGGGCAAGGAAAGACCAGAGGCAACACAGAGGTCTACAAAAGCCCTGAAGTTTGGCTGTGGGAAGAGCTCTGCTCAGCAAAGTACCAGCAGCAGGACAAATACAACACGTACAGCTCTGCCTCGGCCGGGTTGCAGGAGTGGCCCAAGGAGGGAGGACAAACACCTTGGAAGGACCATCGTGGAAGTGCAGCCCTTGGCCTCTGGTGTGTCAGGAGCCAGGGGATGCTGGTGTGGTCCCAGATAAACTGTCTTCCAGTTGTCTGCTTCTACTATTGCACATCATGAGCTTGTTGCTACAGTAAGGACAGAAGTGACAGTTCTTCTCTAGAAAACACCACTGTCAACAGGACTACACAAGCAAATTTTCTTGTCACCATCTGCAGTCTCTGAGTCCCAAAAGCACGTGGGTCTGTAAGAGTTCAGACACAGCACAGTACAAATCATCTGTGGTGGGGTGCAGTGTTGTCACCCAGTCAGAAACCAGTCTCACCAGAAAGAATACAACAGACCAATCAAAATTAAAAATCTGGAGTCTACAAACAGTTTCAACAGGTAAACTTGGACATCCTCCCTTCTCAAAGCAGGAGGTGGTTGCATTGCATCAGTCTGTGAGGAAGCTCTGGTACCATGTTTCTGTGCTCAGATTTCAGTCCATTTGGTCGAGCGGTGCTAAAAACATACGCCTGGATTTATATCCATGTGCTTTATCCAGAAGAGGTCCTGCATTTAGACACTGAAAAATGAGGGAGCACAGTCCAACACTTGTGTTCTATTAAAGCTTTTATTAGCTAGTTTAGCTTTTCCTCACATAATTTTTTCCAGAATTCCTATAACAGTTCTTAATATCAGAGTAAAGAGTTAAATGTTCAAGTGAAGTTAGGGAAGGAAAAAAGAGCAGCAGCAGTTTGGCAATAATTCCTCAAATCACTGACTGCGACTTATTTTAAGCCTCCTTTTTCTCCAGTAAGATTTTGTGCAACTCATCTGCATCCTCACTTGTTTTCACCCTTATTAACATGGTGACAGGAGCAGTCGGGTTCTTCTCGTCGATCGGTGGGTTGGGGACACAAACTATGAGAACGTTGTTCTTCCCAGTTCTTGTGCATGGCATCTTAGGTGGAATTAGGACATTCAACAGTATGTTCCCTGCGGGTGAGGAGGGGGAAAAAATGACCATTAGCCACTGTTCAGCTTTTACTGCAATACAGTGTTAGTACAGGTACTGAACAGGGATTTAGGATGGTTTGGAAGGAAGGCAACTCACAAACAGCAGGTATGTTTGTCTTATTCTTCCCTGAGCATCTGCTCAGGGCCACTGTTCTCAGATTTCCTTCCTCAGCAGGAATGAGGAAATCTCTGAAAATACTGCATCCTCCTTTTTTAGAGGGAGGAGCCTGAAGAATATGATAGCAGGGACACACAGGGAAAAGGCAGAAGGAGCAAGTGTGGAATCCAGTCCCAATGCTTAGTTCTGACCATTGGGTGCAGTTCAGAAGCAGAAACAAAATGTTAGTTCTGATGCAGACAGAGGTGTTAATGGGACAAACCAGGGTGCAGGAAGTACTTTGTATCCCCAAATCCTCCCACAGAGCTGGTTAAGGGAGAAGTGAGTGCGAGAGCTCCAGGGTTAGTGGGCTACTAAACATCAGCAAACAAACTCCAGTCTGGTTCCACAGGAGACACACACATTTATAGACCTGGGAAATAGCTCAGAACATGGCAGCAGAATTAGGGGAAAGTCAGTCTTCGCCTCCCTTTCCAGTTCAGTTTTTCAACACAGTGAGATTTTAGGAAAGGAATACAGCACTGTGTGAAGACAGCAAAAAGGAAAGTGTGCATCACTATGACTGCAGTAGCTTCTAGAAACCCCAAGCTTGGAATCCCCAAGCTCAAATGCCTTCGTGTGTGAGCTGGAGAAAAAGGAAAGACTCCTAACACCCCGCTGTGGATGAGGGCAGGAGGGAGCTGAGATGTACCCTGGCCTTCAGTGCAGCCTGGCTTTAGTCCTCAGGGATTCTACAACCATACCAGATACTCAGTTTTATGGAAGCTGGACCTTAAGCCAAGCTTCAAGGCCACTCAAGCCAGGGATGGAGAAAAGCTTGTAAACAAGTAGGGGGAAGGAATTTCCAAACATACACCACAACCTTTTACTCCATCCACAGCTTCACATGCTCTCTTCTGTAATGCTCAGGAGAGGCATCCAAGTGCTTGTTCAATACTTGAAATTATTCAGAGAAAATAAAAAGTAGAACGGTTTTCACTAACTGTGTCTGTTATGCTGTGTTACCACAAAACCAGCCTAATGCTTAGCAAGGAATTTCACATCAACACTTGCTACTGGAAGAACTTTACTTACCTAAATTGGTATCTGCTCGGACTAGGAGCTGAGTTTTTTCATTTCCTGCTGGTTTTAAATGTAATGTTCCTACCCCTTTTTCTTTAAATTCATTATCCTTTTTGTAAAACAGTTTGCACCTGTGGGGGGGGGGGGAAAAATAAAACAAACTCAAACCCCTTGTTTGTGCAGTCATGTAGAGATTGAAGACATAACAATATCTCTTAAGTACACCAAGTACAGGCACCCATCTGACTCACAGTAAGGATAACCAGGAGTTAACATGATGTAAAATAATCTTTATTCTTCTTGACCTTGTTTCATGGGCTAACAGACAACACTTGCAGTTCAAAGAGAAAGGTAATTATTTCTTTCAGTACTGAAATGACAAATGTACTGCTTTCAGGGAAAAGTAAAGTGCAGAGCAACCTGTTCTCAGGGTCTATGAGGAGCAGTAACTGTACAAGCTAATTTAAAAAACACTAATTACAAAGAACTTGCTGTAATGTTCTGAAGTTATGGGAGAACTTTTATGTACAATTTGTAAACATTTTTAAGTGAAGTTCTAATAACCTAATAAACCATTCCTAATAAATTAGAACACACTTTCTCTCAGATAAAACTAATGGCCTTTGGTAGCAGGACAAATTCTGTGCTGAGTGTCAATTACTTGGACTACTGAACATGCCTTGAAAAACTGCTTCTAGTACAGCTGGTCTCATTTTCAGCTTAAAAGCACAGCTTGTTCACTCTTTCACACAACAATCACCATTTTCCAGCTGAAGAGTCTTATTTTAGGCTGTGCAAATAACTTGAGCAGCTGGTGGATTTTCCAGCAGCACAGCATGAAATTTTTGTGGTAGCCCTGCAGTTTAAACCTCACAAAACCTGATGAAGGCAAGAACATCTTCACTTGTAAAAAACAGATCACAACCAGAACACAAACTATTACTGTTGTCTCCAAGATACAGAAGAATTTTAGTAAGGCATTGCAAATTCTTGCCTGTAATAAACTTTTTTAGAAGTTCATACTCTATATGGGTTCCCAACAAGCTTTATCAATTACAAAGTAAAGAAGGTGTCCTTAATCATGCACTGCAGTGAAGATTAGCAATATGCAGGTATGAATTTTGTTTTCCAAGTCAGGGTCACTTACTTCTTTGAGTAGAAAGCATCATCCTCTTTTATTTCATTAACAACGACTTTTGGTGGCTCTTCTTCCTCCTCTTCTCCTCCTTCAAACAGAAAGTTTGAATCTGTTAATGCTGTGAGCACAGAGCCTGCAGGGTGTTTTTGGCACTTAGAGCTCCCTTGTGCACACCATGTTTGACATGGACACGTGTGGCCAGAACACATTTCAGTCCCTCCGGGCTCTGCAGCAGCTTCAGCTACAGAAAAAGAAGTGTTACTTCCTTTTCCTTCAGCCCCTCAAACAACTCCATCCTCATCTTCAGTTTAAGTGGGGTGAAAATACCCAACCCCTACCAGACAACCAAACCCTAAAAATACAAAGCTTAATTAGTCAAAACCTTGGGGTTTAGCACAAAGCAGCTTTCACATTTCAAAGAACATGCTCCACAAATTCAAGTAAAGCACAATAAAGACTTCCAACAACCAGGTTTAACCTGGGGGAAGGGAATTCACTGTGGGAATGACAGCCAAGAGACAGTGGCAGATTATGCCTTTCCAGTCCCTCAGCTCTTAGGAATTCCATCAGCTCACTGTACCCAGTGTAGGCAAAGAGCAAAGCTTTGGTGTAACTTTGGTGGCCTTACAGTCTGTTAAATAAAATGGACTCAGTTGTTCTGTATCTCATGCATTTTACCATGGGAATCTCTTCATAAAGCTACTGGGAAAAGCAGAGGGATCGAAATGTCCTGCAGACTCAAAGGAGAACATACCAGCTGCTTTAAATGTCACCTTTTCAAGTCATGTCTTCAGGTAAAGGATTATACTCTATTAGAGAAAGTGTAAATCTGACAGAAATACAAAGGTTTTGATAAGCACAAACTTTTGGTGTTGCTTAAAACTGTGTGCATGGCTGGGATCTGCAGATTACTGGCGTGGCTCTGCACCTGAAATTCCAGAACAGTTCTGATCACAGAATCATAGAATATACAATGTCTGAGCTGGAGTGACCCACAAGGATGAAGTCCATCTCCTGGTCCTGCACAGACACCCCAACAATCCCACCCTCTCCCTTCTAAGCATTGTCCAAACCCTCCTGGAGCTCTGGCAGCCTTGGTGCTGTGCCCACTGCCCTGGGGAGCCTGGTCAGTGCCCAACCACCCTCTGGGGAAGAACCTTTTCCTGAGATCCAACCTGACCCTGCCCTGACACAGCTCCAGGCCATGATCTTGTTCAATTTACTACTGCTGCACCTTCGCAGTATCCTTAAGTGGCACACACTCACAGCTTACCACTAAAGTAACTATAAACAGCAATAAATAGAATTTACCTTTCTCATCGGCATTGCTGCTCTCTGCCTGAGCTTCCAGCAAACTGGTGGGTGCCGCAATGACAGACTTGGCCTGGTTTGCGTCTTTTCCAAACAATCCCGAATTCCCAGGGGAAAAGGAGAAACTACTGAGCGTTCCTGAGCCCAGGGAGCCCAGAGCAGGGCTGTCGGCGCTCTTGCCAAAGTTAAAGGAGACGGCAGAGGCGGCTCCCAAGGACGGCTCCTTCTTCTCGGCCTCGGCCTTTCTGTCTGCGGGCGCCTCCTCGGCCTTGCCGCTGTTGAACAGGAATGCCGAGCCCTGCAGCTTCGTGCCCCCGAAGGCAGGGGCGGCCCTGGCGCCGGGGGTGCCGGCGGCCTCGCCCTCGGAGCCGCTGTCGCTGCCGTGCTGCTGCTCGATGCTGGCCAGGTAGCGCTCGTAGTCCCTGAAGATGGGGGTCAGGTCGCACAGCGGGTTGGAGTTCACGTGCTTCACGATCCAGTCGCGCACGGAGCAGTTGAGGGCGGCCAGCTGTTTGTGGTAGGAGCCCTGCCTGCCCCCCCCGGCCTTGGTCTCGGCAAACGCTGCGGCACCGGGGCCGTTGGACATGGGCGACCCTGGTACAACAAGAACGTGGCTAAGAACGTTGTCTTCCCCCAGAAAGCAGAGCTCTCTGAAAAGCCCAACCAGTGTTCCCGGTATTCCCTACCAAGTCACTCATCCCTGCTCAGTTATGATCCTTTGGGGCCACAGGATATGCCCAGTGGGAAGGGACCCACACGGATCTCTGAGTCCAACCCACAGCCCTGTGCAGGACCATCCCCAAGGGTCACACCCTGTCCCTGAGAGGATCAGCCAAACCCTCCTGGAGCTCTGGCAGCCTTGGGGCTGTGCCCACTGCCCTGGGGAGCCTGGGCAGTGCCCAACCACCCTCTGGGGGGAGAACCTTCCCCTGAGATCCACCCTGACCCTGCCCCAGGTACTGCTGTACCAGTGAGCACACTGTGCTGTGAGACAGACCCACGCTGTAAATTTAGAAAGGTTACTTTGTTCAGGGACACACAAAGTAGGTGGAGCATGCTAGTGAATAAAAAAAAAAAAAAAGAAATCTTGTATAGAACAAAGTACAAGTTTTGTATTTTGCCAAAAATTTCACAAAGTTTTTACAGCTTTATAACACTGTAACACTTACTAAGTCAAAATAGTCAAGTTAGGTCTTGCTAATTACACTTTAAAACACCCTGAGTGCACTAGCCCACAATTTTGCATGCTTTGCAAAATTGGTTTCCATATAAAAAACATAGGCAGCAAACTAAGAAAATCCTCACTGAGTATTTCAGTTTCCCCTAATTTAGTCAAGCTCACTGAAATCTAAGTTACTCCAGAGCTCAAAACTCCACCACTTGTATTCTAGCACACAGACTCCAAAATCCGGTGGCAGTGGTCACATGTCTCCATCTCCAGCACAAAGGGACAGAGCTAATATTCCTCAGGGAATTCCAAAGCATGGGACTTGCCATTAGACTTGCCAAAGTATTCCAAGTGCCTCAAAATGTAGGCATGAATGTAACAGATACACTTCTAGAAAGACTGTCTGCCATGTCAGGTGTGCAGGGGAAAAGAGGTTAAGACTTCAGCTATGCAGCACATATTTACCAAGAATGGCAAAATATACAGAAACAAGATCTTAAAAAAAAAAATCACATCAAGGAACTGCAGTCTTACTAAATGGACAATTTCTATTAGTTTTTTTTTTTTTTAATTAAATTTAAAGAACTGGGACAACTGTTTAACTGGAACATGGTACCAGCTGCTTTATACTATTCCAAGAGTGTCTTAGGCCAGTTTCTTCCATTCCCATTTGTGCCTATAAAACTTCCACCTCCAGTATTACAGCAAATGCAAATTTAGTTCCCACCTCTCGAGACTGCATGCATTTGACAACTTGTCCCTCCAGCAGCCCAAAATCTTTTCAAGAAATCTCACAAAGAGGAATGAAGCCTCAAAACCTTAAAACAGAACTACAGGGTGGTCTGAACTTGTTTTTTCACTAATAAATACAGATTTTATTGATGAATGTGTTCAGATATGCTTATTTAGAACTTACCAAATGCTGACTGTGTTTCGGGAGTGGTCTTCAAACTGCTGAAAGGAGGAGTGCTAGAGACAGCAGTGCTTCCATTAGACAGCCCTTCCAAAGGCTTCATTCCTGCACCATTCCCAAATCCGCCGAAGCCACCTCCTCCTTTCCCAGAAGGCAACATAAAGCCTTTAAACCCTTTGAAAGCTCCTCCACTTTCAGACTGGGGAGAGAAAAGAAGAGAGACAACCAGTTACACACATCTCCTCCACACAAATCCCATCCCCACTTAATATTCCCTGACATCCCTGGTTTATTTTCAGCCTGTCATTCCGTGCATTACTGTGTCAGCTATGCAAACACAGCAAACAGCTTCCCTGTGACACACTGCTACTGCTTTTGGAGGACTCGGATGTTTGGTATGAAAATAACCTGCATCTAGGAAGTGGATACATGGAAGTTGTTCAGAGCAGCGGATGTGTTTGACTACCTATTCAGATGCTCATAGCACGTTGTTTTCTTTAAATAATTACACAGCAATATATTTATAATTGCAGGTTTATTTTCAGCAGCTCTTAGCACTTAAAACTGCAATTAAGAGTTTAACACTTCAAGCCCCTCATCCAAAACAGCCTATTTTGGAGTCACCTAACGAAACATTTGTGATTTACCCAAAATATTGCAATGTGACCAGTGGGAGAAGCAAAGACAGACTGTACTCGATCACAAAATCTGCAGAGGACACTGTGTCTGAAACACTCTTCATTTTTGCTTCAGAAATACTCTCTTCACCCAGTCAATACTAATTAACCATTTCTCACCTTTTCCTCGCCATGGAACAATAAGCCAAAACCCATCTGCACACGTGAGCTGGTGAGTGAAATGACAACTTTGTGCAGCATCACCACAAGCCTAGGGAAGTGAAAACCTGAGCCTGGTGCCGTATTCTGCAGTTGAGCCCGTCCCCAACACTGGTGTCCAGTGCCCCCGTTACCTCGGATCCCACATTCCGGCGCTTTGCCTTTTTAATGGCTCTGTTCTTCAGCACCTCCTCGCTGGCCACTGAGAACGTTCCCACCTGCAGGAGAAAGCCAGGGAATCATCACCGGAATTCTCAAAATGCGCAGTGGTTTCTGAACACAACTCTAACCCTGCTCCCTAACAAACAAGGGAAGGAGTTAAACCACAACCCACCCCAAAAACACGGCAGTGATTAACTTGCCAAGGACCTGGACATTACTTGATACCTGGAAACTTGCTGTACTTCAAACATTAGCAAAGGCAGCTAATGGCTCATTACTACCCTGTAATAAGTGAGGAAATAAAGTTTTCTTATATTCCAACTCCTGGAAGAGTCAGTTTTATTTCTTACATTTACAGGTCTAAACATTTAATACTTCCAGTAGGACAGAAGCAAGTACAGTTTGGTCAGAGATAAACATGGGCCATAAGTATGAGACACTAAACATTAAAATCTCTTTTTACCCTCAGATGAAACATAACATTTGACTGCCTAATTTCTCTAGCTGTGTGGGGACATTAAGCTAAAATTAACATAGTTCTGAAATTTACTATTATTGGCCCTTAAAAAAACCCACACAAGACATAAAGAAAATTTATCTCAAGAAACCAAATCCGCTTTTCCTGTGAATTCAGGAAATACCTCTCACACATTTGAAGAATCCAAAAGCATTTTAACAAGCCTGGGGTTCCCTCTAGGAATGTAAAGTTCCTTTCCCCTGAGCTACTGATGTCATCTGAAGTCTCAGAAGCTGCTTTGCCCTGGGGTCTGCATACATTGGAAGCTTTATAAAAAGCAATTTTATAAAATTCGCTTGTATAAAATTACCTTCAGTCGCTGCACTTTTAACCAGTTTTACTGTAGGTTTTACCCACAAAATGAACAGCACATGTCAGTAACTATTCTGCTACCTGCAGGGGTGTGTGGGGGGGGAACTAATGCTTAACTTACCTCCTCAGCTTCGTCCTCCTGATCCCAGTTTCGGTCAGTCAGTTCCTTCTCTGCAATTCTCTTGGCCATTTTTGCACACCTACGTGGGGGGGAAAGAATCATAGAATAATTCTTTTATAATTAAATTCTAAGCAACAGTGATCTTCAATTTGCGTTCTTAGAACCAAAAATTGGAATCAAGAGTTAATACAGAAGCAGGTCAAAAGTGGAACAACAGTGGAAAAGCAAGTGTTGTGGCAACAACAATCAGCAGAACATTTGATGTTCCGCTCCCTGCCTTCTCAGGATACCCGTGTGAGCAAGAAAAGTTCCTTTACAACACCTAAAATAAATACTGACGAGGACCCACTGAAGCAGCTGGGCAGAAAGCTTGGCTAAAGCTGAGGACAATGCTCTCCTTTAAAAAACAGGATTGGAAGACCATTATTAATTTTAAACTTGAAAAAAAACCACAATTACCAATAGATCAGGCTATTTTTCCTCCAAAGGCTACATAAGGCATATCATGGATTTTAGAGCAAACACTGTAAGCAGCCAATCATCATTTTGCTGGTTATCTCTGCAAAAGGAGAACCAGCTCTGGGAGAAGGAAACATCTAAAACAGTAGGACAGTTTATCAGCTGTGTACAAAACCAAAGACTGGATCCAGCTATGATGCTTTCTATCTGAAAGGCCTGGCAGGCAATCACACTACTGGAGTTTTACACGAAAAAGAAGCTTTTTACTAATTATGATTACATATTCCGACACTAAATATGAAAACTTTTCATAGGAAATATGCAGTTTCGTGGCAATTTAGCAAGCACAGAAATTAAAACTCTTCAAAAAACCCCCTTGGGTTTGTGATTAAGACCTGCTCCCCCAAAAAAAAACCAATCCACAAATGGTTGAATTTCAGAGCCCAAAACAATAAGTATTGACAGAACATCTTGTTTAGAGGGTGAAACGGTTTGGAACAGTAAATCCAGTGGCACAGCAGCCTTGAAGATCACACCTCCATGTCCTGAATTTTGGTCTGACACACTTCACAAATAAGGTCAGGTTATTAGGAGCTTCTGGAAGTACAGGGAGTACACACTGGCTTGTGTGTACATATTTAAATGCCCTGAGCCTCATAGCCCTGAAAGCTGAGGTCCTACCATGCCTTGCTTGATCCCTGGGGGACTATTTCAATCTAACCCACTGAAACCTCCCCCCAAAAAAAAGCCTATTTTAAAGGCCTATTTAATTTACTCATATTATTTTATTCTGGTATATATCATTATGTAAGATATAATAAATAACAACATAATGTGTGTTTGTTTTTTATTTATAACTTTAAGTTTGTAATAAATAATAGATTTAATGTTATTTTTTATTGATTTTACACATAATATATTATACCACATTATTATATTATTGTAAATTATAGTATATATTATATACATAATACTATAGATTATTAATTTCTTATTTTAATGTAAAATACTAATTTAGTTAAATATATTTTGAGAAACAGCTCAGAGAACTACAGAGTATCCTGAGCTGGAAGGGACCCACAAGGACCATGGATCCAGCTCCTGGCCCTGCCCAGAACACGCCAACAATCCCACCCTGTCCCTGGAGCTCCGTCAGCCTTGGGACCGTGACCACTACCCAGGGGAGCCTGTTCGGTGTCCGACGGGGAAAAGCCTTTCCCTGATACCCAACCCAAACGCTGCTCGGCGAGCGAGCCCTTCTCGTTTAAAACCAAACACAGCACAACCGGGCAGAGCGCAGGAGCCTCGCCGGCCCTCCGCGATGCCCCCGGACCGTCCCCGCGCTGTGTAAGGCAGCCGCTCCCGGCCCGGCTCCCCCGCCGGTCCCGCGGGACCGCAGCCCCGCGCCGCGGTGCCGGCGGGAGGAAGGGGAGGAAGCGGAAGCCGAGGCCGCCGGGGCCGCCCCGCGCTCCCCTTTCCGCCGTTCCCGGCGCTCGCCCCGCGCGTTCCCCGCACCCCCCGCTCCGCCCGGCCCGAGCCCCGCACCGCCGCGACCCCCGGAGCCCCCCCGCCCCGCACCGCCGC